AAATAGGAAATAAGAACTGCATCCTTCTTGCTCTGTCTGCATCTCTGTCTAAGCCAGTGCCCAAGGCCATGGAGTATAAAGAGAGGCTCACTCCTATTTTATTTGCTCTTTCCGCCACCTCAGTGCCTATCCCAGGATTACAACAGCCTGCAGAGTGTGGTGTGTGGCTGCCATGGGTGCAGCCTGGTGGAAGCAGACAGTGGGCGCTGAATTTATCATCTCTACCACCTCATCTGTGGCTCACTGGCTTTTACTGGGGGAAATGACAGTAGAGTCTTTCAGGGCAGAAGTCCTTATCTACCATCTACTTGCTCACAGCTCCTGCTTTGCCTAAATTCCACTTGCTCCTCTTGTTACCTTTGTCCTTTCTTTGCCCCAGAAGGCTTTTCTGCTTTCCCCTGTTCTTGGATGTGTAAATGCAAAAAGTGTTGATGTGTTACAGCTCAAAGAGAGCTCCCAGGCACCTCAGGCTAAAACCAATGTACCAGGAGCAGAAAGCACTGTGGGCTCCCAGCTTTGTTTTGAGTCATTAGCTGTGACCTTTCCTAATATCCATGGTGTTCATCTCCAATCTTTCACTTGTGAGTTAGGAGGTTATCAGTGACCTGTGATAGCACAGTGTGTGAAATGAGCTGATGCTACAAGAAAGGTTGTGTGTTTAGCTGCAGCTCTGCTGTCTTGGAGGTGTCTGCACAGATAAACCAGCATTACATTTCCCACAAATGACGGCTCACCTTCCAGGGACATAGTTCAGAGGATGAGCTGGCCACAGCACTCAGGAAACATGCAAATGTACTAAGCTCAACCTCTGTTAGACAAGATTTTTGAGGTGGATGGAGAGGTGGTGGATATTGATGCTGGAAAATCGTGCTGAGCAAAGTCAAATATCCAAAGTATTCAGGAGTTTGGCCGTTGCCTTGTGTTGGTAGAAAATACACTCTGGGGCTCAAGAGTTACTTGTAGCCTGCCACCCATGTCAGCAGGTCACTGCTGCAAAGCCACACTCCATGTTTCCCCGACACAGCAACACCACCTGGCACCAGAAATTTGGCTGAGAGGCTAACCTGGCAGCCCACATGGCATCTCTCATCTCAGGGGCTAATGCCTAGCCTGGGCTACAGCCCTGCAGGGCAGAAAACAGGGCATGGAGAGAGGGGAAAACAGAATGAAAGAGAGATGGCTGGACCTGGGTAGGGAAAGGAATTTGGAGCAGGAGCTAGGAAGGACATCTGGGAGCCAGATTCTTCTCTTTGAGCCCACTGCAAGGGGCTGGCTTGGTTAAACAAGAGACATTGTTCCTCTGCTGAAAGCTGCAAAATACGATAAGGGTAGGTGATACAGGGTTGTAGGAAGAGGTGACATCTAGGGAAATCATTGTGCTTCTCATGTCTTTTAGCTCAGTGAGTAGTCTTACAACCCTTTTAGCACAGTGAGGCAAAATTTGAGACCCTGTGTTGACCGCTGCACTGCATGTTCTTTAATGAATGTTCCTTGGAGTGGTGTGGGGACCTGTGGCACTGACTGCTGTTGGGTTGTAGGCTTAGCAAAAGTAAAGTGAATTTTCATCAGAGCAGAGTGAGTTGATGGGGCTCGGGAGTGGATTACCATCAGAGCTGCTTTGAGCTGCACACCAGGAATTCAGGGGCAGACAAACAAGCCAAGCAGTGAAGCTCTCTGCTGTTTTTCTCTCTTTTGATTCACAGCAGAGACTGAGCCAGGGGATAGGAGTGTAGGCATTGCAGAAGTTCACGTGAATGGATAGTCTCTGGCATGAGTAATTTGTTGGACTGGGTTGGCTTACGTTTGCTTTTTGTCGAACTCACATTGGCTGAGCCAAAGATAGCATCCTTTTTCTTTTTAAACCCATTTTTCCATATTCTACTGGCTGGAAGAGGGGGCGCAAAAGCGACATGTCTGCAACAAATGCCATAAATCCAGACAGAAATAGAATTAGCAGTTCCCTCTGGTTCCGGTGTTTGTATCTGTGGGGCTCTGAGCTTAACCAGCCCGGGCTCCTCGGAGCAGAGCCGCGTCTGTGCGAACCTGTTGTGCCTTGGGACCTGGCGCTCGGGTTTTGTTCCAGAACAATATCATAAAACTTTTATAGTAACGTCATGACAAAGAGCATGGGAAGAGGAATAGCTTAACCCTCTCTTGCTGAAGTTGGTGTTGCAAGTGCTCCAGTTTGCCCAGGCAGCAAATCCTTCGGTTGAATATTGAGCACTGTAGGGAGAGAGAAAATTCAAGATTTGTGGGGATGGGGAAGAAAAAGCAGCAGAAACCTGTCTTTGTGAGGCTTGCCATTTCTTAAAGGGCTGTCTTTAAAGTCCATTTCTGCCCCAGTAGGCCCTGGCATACATCGGTAGTGTCATTTGTTGGCACTGTTGCATTGCATTATGTTCCTGCATTTTAGAGTTGGGCTCTTAATCTATGTTGATTATGTTTTAATTGAATAAATAAATCAGAGCCCAGAATCAATAGAGATGCTTCTATGCTGTTTTATTTTATTTTTCTAGGTTTCCTAAGGACATTTAACTTTTACAACCTTATAACTTGTTCTGCGGCATTCGCTAGTCAGCTATTGCATAATTGTTCTGGGGAATGAGAACCTGGGAATAATATGGCCCAGAAATGCTAAGAAGCAGAAATTAAATTGGCTGATCTTCTCATCTGCCACCATCCCTTCTCTCCAGGGTCAGGGTACCAAGCAGGTCCTGTGTGGACTGTAGTGTTATTCCTAGGTCTGCCTTTGGCTTAATTTGTCACCTCACGTGTTGAGGCCTTGGATGCCCTTTGCATCTCCCCTCTCCTTTCCAGGCTGACTTTTGGCTGCTTAGCTTCAAAATTCTCTGGAGTGGAGCAATCACAGATTTTCTGTCTGAGAAGCCTGTGGCAGTTACAGGCCAACAACTGGAAGATGAAGAAAAACCAAACAAGAGCCATGAAGTGGAAAAGAAGTTGTACTTCTGCAGATTTAAAAATCCAGGTGCCTGCAGTTAGCCAGGAGTAATGGTCTGGGGTAATTCCTGTGAAAAATATTTCTTTTTTGAACAATGGTTTGGATGGAAAGACTTTGGCTCTATAATAAAAATAGGCAAGAGTTGTCGAGTTTGTAAGTATTTTCTAACCTGACTCTCAGCCTTTTAAATAGTGTATTCTTGCATAAGCCGCACTGGAGCTTCCATTTTCTTATTAGTCTAGCCAAATACATTGTAATCCAATAAGATTTAATAATCATTAGGTACTAATGGATGCCTCAGCACGTATAAGTTTGGCAGATCAGAGGCTGCCTACTTTGTATAGCCTCTCTTTGACCAACTTGCCATTTATGTGTCAGATTGATGACTAGGGAGTTCTTTAAAGCAGGTAATGATTGACTGCTCCTAAAATGAAATTTAAATGAAAACTGTCTGGAACAGCCACTGAGCCAAAGGAAAACGCAAATTTCTGGCTTGGAAAATTGAAGTAACTTGGTGAGAGTGAAAGCAAATAGAGCTGTATTGTCTGTGGGAAGGTGCTGGTATGGTCTGAATAGCTTTTGCAGTTGAGATTAGGTGAGTTGTTAGGTAATTCTTTAGTATTTTTATTATTGACATTGTCAAACTCTGAGTGAACTCTTCTGCACCAAACTCTGTAGTTGCATGTACACAGAGAGACTCTGTCCTGTCCGGGGGATTTGCAGGTAAGTAAGACATGGAAGAATAGAAGACAAATAACTCAGGTTGAGAAAAGACTTTCTGTGTAATAGTTCACTTGACTCAAGAACTTTGGTTTCTGTGTATGTCCTGGTGGTGGCCTGGCTCAGTGGGGCTTGCCCCTAGCTCCTACTTTGTCCATGGCACGGATCCTCAGCTGGTTTTCTTAAATTTCCCATTCCTAGTGGAGCTGCCTAGTTCCCAAAGCACTGAAAACATTGAGGAGGATGTTTCCTAGTCTTTACCTACTTTGTGTCCTATTGAGAGGTCCTGCTGTTGGATTGGGCTGTACAGTGCAAAGATCCTTCCTAGAGGTTTTGGACTAGGTTGATTTATGAAAAACAAAGCATGGGAATGAGTCCTCTTTAAAAATGGTTATTCTAGCAGGGATTGCAGTACTGCCCTTAAACAGGGGTTTGAAGATCGCATGCTGTGCTGTGGTACTGAGTTCTGGGTTTTACTTTTTGAGGTGGGTGGTGGTGGTGGTTAAAATTCACGTCTCTTCCCTTTCAAGTGAGCATCCCTACCAGCCTGGGTGCAAATGGGACTGGGCTGTTTTGAAAGCAGAAAGAAAGCAAAATCTATAGAATTAGGGTCCTTGGGTGCATGTTGGCATTTGCTCTTGGCATGGGCTTTCCTGCATAAAAGCCTTTTCACAAGGACCTTACTTATGTTGTGACTGCATGTTGCAAATCACACCCTTCACATTCAATCTGCTAGAAATGGATTGAACTTTTTCACTCCTCTTGAAGGAGCTAATTTTTCAGATGAAATTTGTGAAGAAGTGTTGAATCAGACTGGTACACCTACCAAGAATTGATTTAAAATAAGAATAGGTGCACGTGGACAGTCACTGACTACTGTGGTTTTTAGCTCTGTTCTGTTTGTGTTTTACCTGAGATGAGAACAGGGCAGAAGAGATGCTCTTGGGATCCAGGTGCTCCAAGCCCGTCCCCAGCTTTGTCTTTCCAGACAGGTATCCTTGTATAACATCTTCTCCATCTTATGGTGTGGGGATTGTCTTGCCTCTTCAGCTTAGCAGCAGATTGCTGAATTGCTAATCCTCTAAGTCAGTTTTACACAATGGGACCCTTGTGGCAAATACGTGAAGAAAAGCCTCAAAGCAGCCTAAATTCCTGTGAGATGCTTGCTGTTAGTTCTGGAGGGAGCTATAGGATTTCAGCATGTTTGTCCCTGCAACCCAAGAGTTATTGCTGGGCATGGGTGCAGCTCCATGAGGACAGTAAGTAACCATGTGCCAGGCCAAGTGGTTTGGATAACTGGAACTTTTCTTTCTTCTTTAAGGTGAATCCTGGTGGCAAGACACTTGAGGAGAGGCGGTGCAGTTTAGATGCAGAAATTGACTCTCTGACCAGCATCCTGGCCGACCTAGAGAGCAGCTCTCCATACAAACCTCGGACTCAACAGGTTAGTCGCACGTTGCGTAAACACAGAGTGGGAAAGGGGCCAGCATCGACTTCTGGAGTCAATTTGCTAAGTGCTTGGTATTTATTGTGAGAAGGCCAGCCAGTTCCTCCTGATAGCATCCAGATGTGGCTGTCAATGGGGAGAAGGGCGCAGCTGCTCTGAGGGGGCACCAGCTCAAAAGCTGCCGCACCTCTGAGCTAAGGGCCTCTGATCCCGATTGTCAGATTGCCACAGAGATTGTTAAAAAAATACTTGCAAAAAATGGCATTTCATTTGCCTCAACTCTCAACCAACAATGACTCGTGAATTAAAACCTTCTCAGTTCACAAGGACTTTTGTGCTTTTATTTTCTTGTTGTTTTTCTGTTCTGTTAACTTTTGTCTGTCGCGCTGCCAGAAGGATCCAGATATCCCCATCTCATGAAGTGGCTTGGATCGGAGCTCAGCTGTCAGGGTGGCTGTAGCCCAGCAAGGCAGACTGGAATTCGCACTTCTCTGCTGTGTCTAGACGAGGACTGCAGGGGTGACAGTGACTTGGCTAATTTTTGTCACTCATCTAGGTAGTGCTTGAGTGGAGCTATTTAAGTTCTGGTGAGATGTCATCTATTTATCAGAGGAAGTGGTGACACCTCAGTAGCACTTTTAATAGGGCAGTTCTTGAGATCTCATGAAATCATGCTAGATATGTTTGTGCCTTGTCTTTCCTTCCTAGACTCATGACTGGTCTCATTTCTTACATGTGTGTGGGTCTGTGGGCTGTATATAGCTAGACACATGCTGTATTTCTCTTAGTAAAGCCCCAAAAGTCAAAAGTATCAAAGGGATAGGTCAATGTTGGGTGCATACTCACTATCCATACAAGCCTTCTCTTTGGTTTGTTTTTTTTTGGTTGTTTTCATTGCTCCATTTCTTTTAAGTAACGGAGAAGTGATATCTTTGGAACAGAACTAAAGTAGTGATCGGAATCTCTTTAGATTTGCTCATCTTCAAATCTGCAAATGGAGCAAAATCAGAGCAAAATCAGATCTGTGCTCTTTTGAAAGTGTCCACCCTCCGCACAGAGGCTCTGGGTTTCCATCCTTTCTGCAGGGACCTCCCTATAACCTCGGCTTTAGTTTTAGTGGCATGTGCACAGTTATTGCATAAACTTACAAACTCGTCCTTGAAAAATAGTCTAATTTGCGTTAGTCAGTCAAAAAGCCCAACATTGTAAACCAAATACAATTCAGCCCTTTTCCCAGTGGGTTTTTGTTGTTGCAATAAATGAGATGAGTTCTGCTGAGGCACTGTGGTGAATAACCCATGTTTGTTTGCATGGGCCAAACACACACCAGTGCACACTATTACTGGGGAATGCTTTACAGACTCAAAACCCTGCTAGAGTTGGATGAGAGAGATTTCTGCTCCCCATTTTTCTCAGCAACGCCCCCAGTGAGCTCTGACATCTTTGTGGGGACATGTAACTTCTCTACCCATTTCACGAAGCATCTACAGTTTGCTGACAGTGCTGCTGACTGTTTCCTGATGCTTCTTCCTTTGGGATCTGGGGTTCTGTGAATAGGTTGTTTTTTCACTTTTATTTTACACCTTTACCATTAAAAGAAAAAAAAATTTAGATCACTGTGTCTAATCACAGTGTCCAAGTGCAAACTTCTGCAGGTGTATTTGAGTTTCTGGAGGATTTGAAGTCATATCCCAAGTTTGGGACTTGATCTGACTTTGAAAGTTCACCACCCTCCAAGATGATGTGCTGATTCCCATTCACGCACCTGCTTGTTCCCATGGCTTTCTACCACAACTTGGGTGGGGGCTCTGCAGACTTGTCCCCTGTACCCAGGAGCACCTGGATGGTGAGGCTCCCAGGTGCACTACACACTGTGTGGCCTGGTGGGCAGAAGAAGCTGAACTCCATCTCTGGGATCAAATCCCAACTTGATTTGTTCAGTCTGTCTGACTTCTCAGCATCTCTTGGTTAACATAATGGTGTCCTGTGAAAAGTACTGCTGCAGCAACTTCTAACTAGAGCTGTTAGAGAAAGAAAATGCCAGAGTTGGATGTATCATCTGCTGTAATTAAAGAGTACTCAGACAAGTCCTTGAAAGGTGGAACTAGAACGTAAAGCTTTGATATTTTCCTTTGTTTGATCTGTACTAAGTATTAAAACTGGTGAGTCATTTGATGGTCTTATAGTAGGATAATAGATTAGGCTGCAAATTGTAAGGTACTTACTCAGAACATCAGCACATTTATTGGATTACACCTTAGCTGACCTTCCCAAATTTATCAGGATAATGGCTGCAGATAGGAAAAAAGAGCTACGACTTGTTTTCAGAGAAGACGTTTCAGTGTGCTTATGTGGTTAAAGCATTATAATAATTTTATAGGAATGCCTTGCCCTTGGGGGTACTCCTGTTCTGGAATAAGAGAAACTTTATTGTTACATTTCTTTTTCATATTATCTTCAGGACAGTTTTAAAGCAACGTAAGATAAGTCGTAACATAGTCCTCTCTCACTGGAGTAGGAGTGATAGCAGGGTAATGACAAGCAGTTTATTTAACATACGCTGCCCATTGGCATGAATTCACACAAAGGGAAGCTCTTTTGATCCTTGGTACAAGTTCAAGATTGCAAAGACACACACTGCACCAGGGGTGCCTCTGACACAGAGGGATGTAATGTTTCTCAGGAAGGGTGGGCCAACATCAACCTCAGGCACCGTCTCTTAGCCCTTGCTGTTGAGGACATAGGTGAGTGTGAATCTCTGCACCATCCCTGCATTGCCTTCCTGGTAACATTTTTTGTGTGCTGCGTGGGTGACAAGGGCACTGCCATGAGTTGAAACTGAACACCTTAAAATAAGGCAGGGAGAGAGTCTGGACGCCTGTGGTCAGCAGTGCCCTCCTGGTACCTCGTGGTCCTGCCTAATTCTAGGCAGCTGGGTAGGAAAGCAAAAGTGACCTGGGCTGAGTCCATGTCTTGCAAGCAAAAGTCTCTCTGACTGAATCATAGAAACAGTCAGAAGTGATTAAATGCAAGTTTTTCCCTTTCAAAAGTGCACATACCTAAAGGCACAGAAAATTACAAGACTAAATCATCATCTTTAGCCTCAACAGAGCAGCATCTAAGGATGTTTTCTGTCATGTGAGGTGGTGTAGGAGAGATTGTATTTAAAGAATTCAGCTAGAACTGAAATTTTAGAAAGAAGCTGCATGACCTTCACCAGCATGACCAGTTCTAGCCCTCTGGTACAGTAAATTGAAATGGACAGGATGACCAAGATGATCTCAAAATTACCATGACTGCAGTGGTATATGAGGTTTAACTTGCCTTGGGTGTTGTTGGAAGAACTGCAGATGCATTATGAAAAAAAAATCTAATTAATTTTTCCTCTCGTTTGGTGCAGTTTGGAAGTACTAGTGTGATGAGTAAAGTACAGAGCTCCTCTTATGTAGCTGCAGTGTGCTTCTGTGTACATATCACACTTTCTAAATTGCAGTAACTCATTGGAAAGTTCAGAGGCAGAGAACCCACTGCATCTTTCATTAGTAAAAGGAGGCATTAGCAAAAGACAAGATATTAGGTGCTTCATTTCCGTGGATGGGAGTAGGAGCAAGTCATAAATTGTGTGAACCCCCTAAGTAGAGGCCTAATGAATGCTGTGGTCATCTGACTCCTTTATTAGAGGGTATTTTCCCTAGTTTTTACCTTTCTGCTTAAATCCTTGCATAAGAGATCAGTACAGCAAGACCTTAACAAAAAAAAAAAAAAACCAAAAAACCCAAAAAACAAAAAACCCAAAAAAACCCACCAAACACCCCAAACCAAACATGCCAAATTTCAGCCCATAAAATAAATGTTTGCATTTTTTTCAAAACCAAGAAAACTTTGTGACTCTGGAGAAAGGGCTTCCAGCAGAGACTGGAAAATGAAATACTGGAAATAGCAGCACACGTAAGCTCAGGATTCTTTGTCCCTGCTGTGAATTATGTATTGAATGATGATTGCTTTGTCTGGAATTGGACACCTACCTTCCGAAACTCTTGAGTTTTATCCTGAATTTCCAATAGAATATCTGTTTGGCACAATAACACTTCGTGGGAGGTGCACCAGGTAATAAGATGTACCTGATCTGATGGTATTTAAGGTTTTTCTAAAAGCAAATGCTCTGCGGCCAATATTTGTGAAGTATTTAAATAGCAAAAAAAATCTTGTTTGACCGTGCACCATGGCCAAGATGAAATCTGCTTGTGTACAGCTCTCAGAGGCAGCTTGATCCAGAGGGCACTGGGCTGGCACTCTGGAGACCTGCATCATTCCCAGCAACCACTGCTGTGCTAAATGACCTTGCATGTAGTGTTTCCCCTCTCCTTCCTCTCCAAATCTCTTCTGTCCTTGTAGCTTGGCAACCTCTTCAACGTGGTTTGCCTCTTACTCCCCATGTGTGTGGCATGTGGCAATGTGGAACCTTGGTCTGGGTTGAAGGCCTTTGGGTGATGTGATTGTGCAAACAGGTGGGGAACATGAAGGCAGAGTTAGGCAAGATTTCTAAGGGTTCATGCCTGTGTTCCTGCCTCTGTGTCATTGCCCCCAGTACTAGACACCTGTCACTGTCCAACACTTTAAGCCAAAGTGAGCACTGTTTTGAAGGAAAAGAGGCTCATTCTCAATATGAGCTAAAGTACAATAAAAATGTAAAGAAAATTAAATTTAAAAAATCAGTGATACATTTTCATTAAGTTTCAAGCATACTGGGAAATAATGTCTTGTAATGACTGGAATTTAAAAGGGATTTAAATGTTTGACAGTGCTGGTGGTTATCCTGTCGCTTCTTTGATAACCATTTGGGGATAGTAAAAGCAGAGAAAAGGCAATGGACATATTTTCTTGCAGAAACCAGGATTGAACAGTTTCAGCTGTTGGCAAATCAAGGCAAAATATTGAAGTGTTGCTAAGGGCTCCTAGGAGGTCTCTTCCCTGTGAATTTTTAATTGTAGTTCCTC